TCTCGCGGGTCTGCGCGCTGCCGGGGAGCTGCGTCCCGGCTCGGAGGAAGGTTTCGCTTCCTAGGACCCGGAGGGGCGGGGAGGCCGGGCGTGGTGGCGCACTCCGGTCTTCCCAGCGCTCGGCAGGCTGAGGCAGGAGGATCGCCACAGTTCAAGGCCAGCCTGGGCTACACAGTGAGTTCCAGATTAGCCTCAACTGAATAGCGAGATCCTGACTCGAGACCGATCAATAAATAATACAACAAAATTTGAAAGGGCCGGATGTATGTTTGCCCTTTGTGGGGCCCGTGCGGGAGGCTGTACTGATGTCTGGAAACCAGTGAAAACCTAGAGACAGTGCAGCAGGCGAGGCCGGCGCCCAGTAACCGACAGGCTGCCACCCCCACAGCAGAGCGCGTGACTGTCCACGCCATCTCGGGGACGTTCCCGAGTGTTCGGATGAGACGAAGGACTTCACTTTGGATTACATTTCGCCGCCAAATTTGGTTTTCGGAAAGTCTCGTCCTCAGGGCTTTGTGCACGTCCGGTGATGGGCCGTGGACCTGAATGGTAACGGCCGATGTTCATTGAAAGCTCAAGATTTACTTGTAGCTACTGTTTCCTGAGTGCTTGCTGTCGGGCACGCTTCGCCAGGCCTGCGATGTGAGGAGCGCTACTAGGCTGCCCCGCACAGGTGTGGGCCCTTCGTGGGTCACACGGTGTGACAGCCCGTGGCACAGCGAGGACTGCAAGCAAGGTGCACGGGTTCCAACTGCTGTGTGACTCGGGCAGCGCGGAGAGCTCCCCGGCCCTCACTGCGGTTGGCCTTGTGCCCGACTGGGGTCTTGTGCTGCCGGCTGCCGCAGCCCCGCGCACACAGAACACACGCTCTAGGGCCTGCAAACCGTGCGTTGCCTGTGAGCCTGGCCCCGGGCTAGGCTCCGCGCTGGACCTTAACAAGGAGGACGGTCCGTCCGCTCTGTACAGACCCGGCTTGCTGGGTGCAGTGTCTCAGCGCCATAACCAGTAACACAAGGGGAAGACACCCGAGGCGAGGCTGCTGGTGCAGGCACTCAGCGGAGCGCTCTGGGAGGTTGAGGCAGGATTGATGGAAAATCCAACCCCAGCCTGGGCCATTTAACGACTTAGCAAGGCCCTGTCTGTCTCAAAATAAAAAAATTAAAACAGACCGCGGATGTATCTCCGTGCAAAGACCCTGGGGTTCAGAAGAGAGGTTCCAGTTCTAAACTGAACTGCTCTTTCCTGTTTGCGCATCCGTGGCATGGCACGGATGCCCACCTATCAAGGTTTCTCTGAGGACTATGTGTGACATTTCCAGAAGTGTTTTGTAAAGTGGCAAGCACTGTACAAAAAATCAGCGCCTCCCTGGGAGCGGTGATGCACGCCTATCATCCCTGCATTTGGGAGGCTGAGGCAGGGGGATCGCCGCAAGCTGGAGGCCAGTCTGGGCGACACGGCGATTTCAAGGCCAAGAACTACATGGCGAGACCCTGTCTCGCAGAGCCAAGTCAGACATGATGGCCCGGTGCCGGCATGCGCCACTACACCTAGCTCTGACGGCACATTTTTTATTGTGTGGTGCTGCGGAGGGCAGCCTGAGCCAACTAGAGAAGCTCAGCCCCAGGCATCGCGGGGAAGGGTATCTGGCAGCACTGTACTCATGCGAGGCGCCTCCCCAAAGGACAGGGCTCAAGGAGAGACTGGGGTGGCGGTCAGGCCTTCGCAACCCTTCCTAAATTACACCAGGAGGCTCCTTCCTCCCTTCCCAAGCCTGGGGAAAGTCCTTCCCTCCTGGGCCCAGCCTTTGCCTTGGTTCAGTGCCAGGAGTAATGAAACCTCCTGCCAGGTCGTAAATCCTGACCTGAAAAGGAAAGCCAGAAGCCGGACAGGGTATTCTAAGGCTCACCAGTGACAGTGGCTATGCTTAGTAATTTAATAACACACCTAGCAGAGCGGGGCATGGCGGTGCACACCATCATCCCAGCCCTCGGGAGGCTGAGGCAGGAGGGTCAGCATGAGTTCAGGGCCAGCCTGAGCCACATAGCAAGACCCTGTCTCAAAAAAACAGCAGGAAAAAGGGATAGGGATATAGCTCAGAACAAAGGCCCTGGGTTCAATCCACAGCACTCAATAAAATTGTGTATTAATGAGATACATCCAATATTAAGGTATATTAAGGTGCAGATCCAATGAACTAGCCAGCTAGATATATTATTTTCATTAATTTATTGTATTTTTTGAGCCAGGGTCTCACTGTGAAGTTCAAGCTGACCTTGAACTCACTGTGGCCCAGGCTGGTCCCAAACTTTCAGAGATCCTCCTGCCTCAGCCTCCCAAGGACTGGGATGACAGGTGTACATGCATCACCGTGCTCAGCTCAGATTTTTCTTATTCCCATCTGAAGAAGCTACGGGGAGGTCACAAACAGCCCTGCGACTCCAAGCTCTCGGTCACCATGTTGAGCTCTGAAGGTCGTTCGTCACTGTTTTTTGGCTGCTACCATCATGATCACCTGGACTTGGGGACAACGTCACATGGTGTCAGAGCCAGGGAACTAGGAGGATGAAGTCACACTAACGGTCTCAGGGGCCTGAGTTTCCATTGATGCCATTTGGTAGCAAGATCACCATTTTGCTATTACTCCTTGGAGAGACCCCCAAGAAAGAGGACCTGCTAAACTGCTTCAGAAGGTGCTGAGAATGAAGGTTGGTGTTTGAAGTGAGGGTATTGAGGATCAATGAATGTGTCCTTTATTGTAATAAATGTTTAAAAATTTAAACATTCACCACGTATGTTTATTTCTTTTGATTTTTTTTGGTACCGGGGAGTGAACTTGGGTCCTTGCACTTGCAAGGCAGGCCACCGAACCGCTGAGCTAAATCCCCGGCCCCTACTTTTGATTTTTTGAGGGTCTCACTATGTAGTCCAGGATGCCTTTGTTTGTTGGTTTTTTTGTTGTTGTTGTTTGTTTTTTTGAGACAACTACATAGTTGAGACTGACCTGGAACTCACTATGTAGCCCAGGCTGGTCTTGAACTCTCAGCGATCCTCCTGCCTCAGCCTCCTGAGTGCTGGGATTACAGGCGGGTGCCACCACACCGGGCAACTCAGGGTGCCTTTGAATTCAGGGAGATCTTCCTGCCTCAGTCTCCCCAGGTGCTGGGATTATAGGTGTACACCACCAGGCCCGGCTTGATCACCCCTACAGATTCTCCTTTGAGAATATATGGCTGTATTCACCTACACATATTTCACACTAAGCAAAATGGTCCATGCAGCAGACCAGACCTGAGATGAAGAACTTCAGAGGAGAGGTTCCAGACTATCTAGGGCCACGTGGGCCGCAAACCCATTCTCCGGAGCCCACTGACCACTCCCCAGCCAGCTGATCCGGATCTATGAGCCTGGGAAGTCCAAGGCCGCCTGCAGGTTGGCACACGGATCCTTCCCAGCCTCTTGGTATAAACAGGTCCTGGCATTTCCAGGAGGCAAAAGGCACCCCCTCCCCTGGGGCTATTCCTCAATTACCTCTGGAGCCCAGGACTGGCACGGGTGCCAGCGGGACACCCGAGGCCATGGCGTTCAAGCTGCCAGCCCAGCCACCCTGGGCTCTGGTACGGGTGTGGAGTTGGTATCCCAGCGGTGGACCCTAGGCGGCTTCCCACTGTTCCTTTGCCTGTAAATTGGTTCGTTTTGGGGGACAGGGTCTTGCTATGTATTCCAGGCTTGCCTTGAGCTTGCAGGGACCCTCCTGCCTCAGCCTTCCAGGGCTGGGATCACAGGCGCACGCCACCTTGGCTGAGCACACACAAGCTCTACTGCTGAGCTACATCCCAGCCTTTGTGTATTTTAACTCTTCTTGCTAATTGCCTTCATGTTGGAAGGTGTCATGCATACTAATTAGGGTTGAGATAGAAGGTTTTCACCACACAGGTCCCACTTAGGAATCATTACTCCAGTTGAAATCATCCAATTGGAGACCAACCATGTCCCTAAGAGCCTCTGTGTTGATTCCGTCCAAGGCATACGCTTCCTCTGGGCTTAAAAGAACAACAGTGCCCAAGTGTGGTGGAGCACACCTGTGATCCCAGCGTTTAGGAAGGAGGCTGAGGCAGGAGGGTCACTGTGAGTTCAAGGCCAGCCTGAACTACATAGCAAGACCTTGTCTCAAAAAACCAAAACCAAAAGTCAGTTGTAGTAAAACACCAGCACTCTGTGCAAATTAAACCTTTCAAAAATGTTCCACACCCACAGAGCAAACCCACCTCCCTTCCAGAGACGAGGACCTTCATGTCCGCGGGCCGTGGCCATCCCTATGGACTTCCGGCTCGCCAGAGCCGGCCCAAGCCCTTGCTCCCACCTGTCCCCAAGGTTCAAGGACAGAAGTGCAGCACGTGGCTTAAGAGAAACGTGGTTTAATGGAACAGCTTGGTGGCCCAGCACCAGGACGGCGGGCAACCCGTGGGCACCTCACATGGCGAAGAGGATGAGGAAGGCGACCATCAGACAGAAGAGTCCCATGGCCTCGGACAGGGCAAAGCCCAGGATGGCGTAGGAGAAGAGCTGCTGCTTGAGAGACGGGTTCCTGCCGGGGACAAAGAGGATGCCAGCCCGGGAGGACAGGAGGACGGGGGCACAGACAACGCCTCCTCGCCGAGCCGGGGACTTGTAGGCAGGCAGAGTAGCAACTCGGCAAACGGACAAGGACAGATTTAAATATATATGTATTTTTTTAAACTGAGGATTGAACTCAGGACCTTGTGCTTGCGAGGCAGGCACGGTAGCACTGAGCTACATCCCCGGCCCTAAAATCTTTTTTTTCTTCTGTTTGTTTTTGGAGACAGGGTCTCGCTATGGAGCCCAGGCTGGCCTGGAGCTTGAGCCGATCCTCCTGCCTCAGCCTCTGGAGCACTGGGAAGACAGGTATGCACCACCATGCCCGGTTTATATATTTTATGTCCTGATAGAGATCACAGGAGAAAAGAGGAGGCAGAAGAAATCAAGGTGCAGACACCTGCAGGCCACTCTTCCTGCTGGGACCTGGGTGGTGTGTGCGGGTCCCCGACTCACCTGGCATAGCCGATGATCAAGCTGCCAAACACGGTTCCGATGCCGGCCCCAGATCCGGCCACACCCACCGTGGCGGCCCCGGCGCCAATGAACTTGGCTGCTGTGTCAATGTCTCTGGAGACCGTGCTGGTCTGGAATTCCCGCCTGACCACCTGGAGTTGGGGGGCGCTGCTGGACGGCTAGAAAGGGGAGCAGGGACAGAATGGAGCGGCAGGAGGGGGCCCCACCCACCCGACAGGTACAGGGCACTCTGGCGCAGAGTGTCGTGAGCAGGGCTTTGGGCTGTCTTCAGACAGTGCCAGGGAAACTGCATCACACAAACCTCACTTCTGCACATGTCTTTTCTTTGGAGACAAATTTCTTTCCTTTCCCCTATGTAGCCCACACTAGCCTTGAATTTACAGGGATCCTTCTGCCTCAGCCTCCCAAGGTGCACCACCACACCTGGTGCTACCTTTGCAGGTTTTTCACCCACGACAGTGAGAGCAACACAGGTCCATTAACCTGAAAGATGGCTGCCTAGGCCCTCGGTGGGCCTTACCTCTTACCTGTCTAGAGGGGTCCTGGGGCCGACTCAAGAAGGAGGCAGAGGCAGGCCTGATCAGGCCCCTGGTGCAACAGCGGATCTGTAACGTCAGAAAGACACATCCGGATCGGGCAGCGAAAAACTCCTGACAAGCTTCTGGCAGACACACAGCAAAATCAGAAACTAGGATGTATTCCAAAGTCCATTCGTTTATTCCTATTTCTACCGGGGGGGCCTGCGCCGGAGCCGGCTGTCCTGAGGTTCCAGTGTGGCTGGCAGTGGAGACCACCAGGGCTGGGGCCCGCACATCGGGCCACAGGAGGAAGACACGGCTCTGGGTTCAATCCTTGGCACCAAAAGCGAAACAAGGAGAGGAATGTGTACCACAGGCCACAGCCTCAATCGGTGTCCCAGAAAGGAAGGAGAACCCACCCTGAGACTCCGTCTCAAAAAAGACCAAAGGAAAAAAGAATCCACGTGAAATCAAAGCCCGTCCCTGCAGGGGCCTTGAACTTCGATCCCCAAGGAATCCATGGGGAGCAGTGGGCCGAGCGTTCTCCCTGCTGCTACCCAGGACGCCCCAGCGAGGCGAGCTCTCTCTGACACCGACCGCCGAGAGGTTCTCCAGGGCCGGGGCCCGGAAACTCCGTGCTGCAATCACCTGGGGATTCGGAGGAAGACGCCAGGGCTTTTCCGCCCCACTTCCCGGGGTGAAGGTCAGCTGGAGCCTCGGACTCCAGTCCAAAGCCGAGACAGCTCGTTCCCACGCACAAATAAACGGGGGTCCCCTGCATCCCGTCCCAGAGCCTCCCATTTGTGACACCCAGGGCTCCCACACCGCAGCCGGCAGCCGGGGCGCAGCTTACCAGCGCCGGAGACAGGAGCAGGGCCCCGGTGGTCTGCATGATGCGGTCTGCAGAGACATTGAGCAAGGCGGTCACCTCCTGACAGCCCGCGCGCCGACCCCTCGGGC